CCCCTGCCCTCTCTGGAGTCTCCGAGGCCCCGTGGGTTGTTCCTCTCCTTGCTCTGCCCCTGGCTCCTCCTCGCTTCGCTGCTGCCCTTTGAACGTCCTGGCACAGCAAACCCTCTCCCTACCCCTGCCCTGGGGACACTCGGAGCAAAGTCGCACCCTGCCGGGGTGGCGGGAGCGCGTGGAAACGCAGCTAGCAGAGCCTGCTCGATCCAATACCTCCGAGAAGAGGCCTCACGCCACACAAGCCCACAGGCAGCCACAGCCTCCAGCCCTGCTGCCTCTCTGGCTGCTCCACTGCTAATTCCCTCTGTGTCCCAACTGCTTCTTCAAGCAGGTTTGCACACAGGTGCACAACACTGACCCAGGAAGAAAGGGCTCAACAACAAACTGCTTCTTGGGCACGTGGGCCTGGCCACCAGCAAGTGACGTTCACTGGGAAAGGCTCCTTCACTGCCTCTCCCCGAGCCCCAGTCACCTGGCTGCCTCTTCCCCAACTCCTGCAAGTATCCTTGCAACCATGAGCAAAACCTCCCAAAGCCACTGCAATCAGCTCCACCACAGCCTAGGAGTTAACAGGACAACTCTGCCCATGCTAGGAGAGCACAAAGCTTCATCTCTCCAGCTCCAGGGTATTGGATCAGGGAGCTAGGTAAGGTTCAGGGATCAAGAATACAGGCTTTGAGGCTAGCATAGCCAGGGAATTCAGATGACAAGCACTACAACAGTGTTGAGGAGACTGGTGACGCAAGAGACACCATTCCCATCTGCAACAGTCCCTGTGTGGGTGCCAGAACGCCGGCCCTCATGCCCTGGCCTTGCGCAATTGCACAGAACAGCACTCGCCCTCCATATATTTCCAAGCGCTACAACAACCTCCCCATTTCCATGCTTCATGCTGCTTTTAAATAGCTGCCATCCTTGCCCAGCTCTGCAGGGTACATGGTAGCAGCAAGGGAATCGGTTCCCATAGAGCTGACAGGTTCAGCTCAGCAGCCATTTACAACAGGCTGTAGAAGCCGAACAGGCAGGTCAGATACCCCATAGGAGCCTGGGCCCTGAGACAGCAGACAAAGCAGGGCCGTGGGTTTTGGTAAGGAAAACACCTTGGAGGTGCTTGGGGCACAGCAGGACTCGCAAGCAAAGGACAGCAGCGAGTCTGGGGACGTCCCCTCCATGTGCCCCTCCATCTGCACCTCTGCGAAGCAGGGCCAAGCAGCTCTGCAGGGCAGTCAGGTAACAGTGCAGGGAGCTAATCACAATGATGCCGACCCGCTTCAGCAGCCCCAGGGCTTCTCCAAGGCTCTGCCATGCCAGCCGCCCACCTGAGCGAGGGCCAGACCCCGTCTCCTCCTTGGGTGCTAGAGAACACCCAAGACCGCCTGGCCGGCAGCTCCCAGCCCCGTTTCCCTGCGTACCTCGCTCCGCTTTCCGGGCGCGCACGAACTCGGAGCGCGCCAGCGTGCAGGGGGCCGTGCGCCTGTAGAAGCTGTTGCGCTGCAGCGAGGAGCCCGCGCCGGCCGCCTCCTGCTCCCACACGTGGCTCCAGTCGGGGCGGCCTGTGCGCAGCCGGGCGCGCTCTGCTCCGCCGGCGCCCCGCGGTCCTGCCGCCTGCGCTGGTGCCGCTCCTTCCAGCTCCCACTGCCTGTTGTAGCCCTCATCCCACATCTCCGACTCCGCACGGCAGGCGTCTGACTCGGGGCTCGCGCTGCCCTCTCCTGAGGACCATCCTGCACACGCGGGAGCTTCACAACTTGCAGCCACGCTGCTGTGGGCCGTGACATGGCCCTTGGGCTGCCTGCTCTGCCCAAAGTCTTGCTCTGCATCCCTGGGATCTCTATACCACTTTCCCCCTTCGCTATATGCCCGCTCCTCTCTATTTCCCCTTTCCCCCTCCCTCTGGGCTCCACGGGCTCTATCCTCCCTATACTGCCTGACCCCCTCCCTGTACTCCCCAGGGTCCCTCTCCTCCCTATATCGCCTTTCCCCCTCCCTATAACCTCCCTCATCCTCGCTATAGTCCCGAAGTTGTCTGTCCTCGCTATACCGCCTTCTTCCCTCCCTATACTCCCCAGGGCCTCTGTCCTCTCTATATTGCCTTCCCCTTTCCCTATACTTCCTAGAGCTCCTGTCCTCTCCACGCCACCTTCCCTCCTCCCTGTAGTCTCCAGGTGTTCTGTCCTCTCTGTACTCCCCTTTTATCCCCGAATTGCAGTCCCTATATTGAATACCCTCTCGTTCATACACCCCATAGTTTCTGCCCTCTGTATCTTGGCTTCTGCCCTTCCAAGCACCCTCTGTTCCTCTGCAGTCTGTATGTTGGATTCCTCCCTTCCAGAAACCTTCCCTGTCTCCGTCCATACTCCATCGGTCCACAGAGCTCCCACCGTGGTCCCAGTCTCTGTCTGCTCCTCCACAGCCCGCGTGGTGCCTCGGGGCTCTGCATGCGCCGTCACTGCTGCGAGCCTCGCTGGGCAGCACGCTCACCCCACCAACGTCCTCGTATTCCCAGCTGAGCAGCCGCGGCTCCTGCCTCGGGTCTCCTACTCCGTATTTTGCCTTGGGATAAGTGCACATAGTCCTCCAGGGCGCTGTGAAGGTGCTGAGCCCCACTGCGCTCGGTAGCGGAGTCCCGGTCCAGCACCGACACCACTTCTCCCCTCTGCTCCAGCGCTCGTCCCGAGGGAAACACAGGCAGCACTTCCTGAAACCGGGCAGCGAGGGTAGGACGCGCGTGCCCAGTCACCGCGAGCCTCAGCCTCCTCCACCTGCTGCCTGGAGTAATCAGTAACCAGCGCTGGGAGGGAGGCCCTGGGCTCTCACCGCCCCGACCGGCTTGGCCGCTTTGCGGCCCGGCCTCTCCGTAGCTTTGCCGCTCAGAGGCAGGGAAAAGGAGCGCACTGGAGCATGAGGAGGCCGTGCCCCGAGACCAACAACCTCAGGGAAGGGAAAGAGGCACCTGAGTGTGTGGAAGGTGCACACTAGATGCTGGAACCGGAGCCCCTTCTCCTGCCTGCTGCTGGGGAGCGCTGAGCACCAAGCGCAACCCCTCAGCGCGGCAGAGCCCAGGCTCTGCTCCAGCCCGTGCTGGGCAAAGTAAGGCTTGCGGGTGGCTGTCTCCGGGGCTCGGCCGCATTTTTTTTGCACGGCCGGTGTCACCGAGCGGTGCCCGTGGTGCCGGGGCGGCCGCTCCCTATGCCTGCGCGAAGCACCGAGGTGACGGGAAGGCACCTGGGGGTCCTGAGCGCCCTCACCCACAGCCCTGCGCAATCACACAGTAAAAGCTACCGGGAGGCTCCTGACCACTCCTGAAACTCCTCTCATCACAAACTACAAGAAACCTCAGCTTTCCATGGCAGACTAAGCTGCTCTAGTGAGAAACCAAGAGATGACCACGCTGTGCCCTAGAGAGAAGCAGGAGAGCCCTGGATACTCTCCATGCCTTAGGTTCTTGCAGCATGTTCCAGGCATGCACCATCACCAATGCTCCCACATGGCATGAGGCAAGAATAAAGCCACGGACACCGTCACTCCAACCACAGGAGGGCAAGGGCCGGCTCCTGCACCAGCCTGGCCATCGGCTAAAACCAAACTGGATGAGCAAGACGGGCCAAAGCAGCAACTCCCTGATTTTGGACATATGCAGCAATGAATGTGCACTTTCTGCTTGTCCTGGCAGTGAAAGACAGTGGTTTGCAGCAACAGCCATCCCATCCGTTTGGAAAACCTTCCTGGAGATTCTGCCTTCAGAAGATTTTCCTCTTCCTAATTTCAAGTTATTTATTTTAGACTCAAATCTTCTAGGCATCTCTTTTGCACTCCCCTGATGTGGAGGCTGTTCGTTACCCTGTTTCCCTACTGCACAGATATCATCAGTCATTCCCATGTGCTCGGCATTAGACAAATTAAAGCCTGCAGCAAAGTGCCTGGGCTCTCCAGTCCTGTTTAGGTAGTGGGAGGATGGAGGCAATGAAGTCAGAGTGAGTAATCCCAAGTCAGGAGCTGACATTTCACTCCACCTCCTGGTGCAGTGCCCACATTTCCTGCAGATCGTGGGCTTTGATGACAGAACCGCACTCTTAAGAGCTCCTTAGAAAAGCTGGCGAAGGGACTGTGGGAGACTTTACATGGTCCCCTGCTTCTACTTGCTGTATTGCGTTATCAGCTATAAAGTAGTTAACAGCACTGATCTTTATCACACCTTTGGGTTTCTGAGCCCGTATGTGCTGATACACACAAAGCAAATCTCTTCTCCCTGAGTAATCCTGGGCTGCACGGACTAACGTCACAGCTTCAGCTACAGACATGTTGCAACCTAAAGGCCTCTGCTGCTGTTACAGGCAGCACAGAGTCGCTTTTCCAACAGCAGCTGAAATTCTGGATTCCAAGGGAGGAAGGCAGGCAGGGACATTTTTTACTTTTTACCCACTAAATCGTCCCACTGGCAGGCCTGGTTCAGTGCCCTTCTGTGCAAACCCTCTGATTTGACTGGCAAATTCCCAAAGCTCCGTATTGCCCCTGGCGCAGGAACCACCAGCAAACTTTGCACCCTCTCAAGCTGGGACCTCTCGCTCCACACATGTCAACTACAATTTTTTACTGCAGAAGAAACCACAAGTCAGGTCACTCTGAAGCTACCACTCTTTTCCCTGCAGCTAAGTGGCGATAGGGCAGGGATCAGGGATGTTAAAACATAGCAGTTGTACTGCTATTGCTCGAGACAGACAAAACACTGTGATGGAATAGGTGAGGCTCCAGATGCACAGCAGGGCTGGGAGATGAGACTGGATGTGTGGAATGAAAAGAGGAGGTGGGGGAGGTCAGGGCTGAGGGATGCCCAGAGAATGGTGCTGTGGTGCTCTGAGGCAAAACCATGAGGATTTGTATTGCAACAAGTCTTACAAAAATAATAGAAAGCAAAAATCAAAGTACCGAAGAAAGGACTATGTCCATTTCCTGCACGTTGCCTAAAGCCTCCCCATCCCCGGCTGCTGCAGACTCACCTCTCAGCTCCTGCAGCTCCACGCTGAGGCTCTCAATGTTGGAGTCACAGAAATCAAGGTTTTCCAGAGTCTCCGCCCTCCCCAGCTCATCCTGCGGCTCCTCCAGCATCAAGCTCAGCTCAGCCCGGGTCTTGCCATAGGCCTCCAGGTCTCGCTCCACCTCTCGGATCCTGGTCAGCAGGATGGAGCGGGGAGAGGCCACCACTGCCCACGGCGGCTCCCCGCGGCCTTCGTCCACGCGCTGCTCCTGCCTGCTGGGCTGCGGGGCCGCGCTCCTCCGCTGGCTGCCCGGCGGAGGCCGCGGCGCAGGCCGGGACGGCTTCACCGAGAACGACAGGGACCTGCCCCTGGGACCCCGGCCCGCCGGCAGCGCCCCGGCGCTCGTCGCAAGGGTGCCGGGCCGAGGAGGCGGCGGCCTCAGCACCTTCCTCCTCTCTGGCTGCTGGGAGCGAGGGGCACACTCGGGAGAGCCGCGAACGATGTCCTTCTCAGAGCTGTAGTCCAGGATGGAGAAGTGGCGGCACACCTTGTCCTGCTCGCCGCCGGCACCTGACAGGCTCTTCTCAAACTGGGCCAGCTGCTCGGTCAGTTTGGAGTCGAGGTCTGTGCAGGCATCTCCCGGCACCGCAAGCGGGGCGCATTCCCCCCAGCTCCCAGGCCATGTATCTAGGCCCACGTGGGCATCGCCCGAGCTGGAGGAACAGGATTTGGGCTTCTCCTGTTGACTGTCCATCCAAATGTCAAGGTCCTGGGCACTGCTCTGGCTCTCCTTGGGCTCTGATGCTGCCCAGCTGTTAGCAGGGATCACCTTCCCCCTACAGGCATCTGTGGGTGAGCAGGAAGATTGTGAGGGCACAGTGGGACCGTCTCCACCATGTTCAGGCAGCTCATGAGTTCCTGAATTCCTTGTGGAGGTTGATATGGTCCCGCAAGGCTCCGCAACATCTGCTTGGCCAGGTCCGCTGCTCTGCAGGGGATGCAGCGGAGCAGAGGGGAGGCCGTTGACAGTGTTTGTGCAGGACAAGTGGACGGAGTCTGCTGTGTCTTTGGGAAGTGGCCCTTGGAGTTCTGTGTCAGGAAAGACTTGACTCTTTCCCAGGTTTTTGCTTAGAGGACTCTCTGCCGTCCCTGCTGTCTGAGAATGACTGTGGTCAGGTACTGAGTGCAAAACAGAGCCATCCTCCTTTTCTCTGCCATCTTCCTCTGGCAAAAGTAGAGATCTGGAGCAGGTGCTTTCTGGGTCTTGATGGATGGTCACTTCAGAGCTGCCTCCAGCCTGTGGATCCCCAGCACTCCCCTTTTTCATGCAGGAATCGGAGGCTTCCAGCCTCACAAATCTGTGTGGAAAGATGCCACGTTTTCCCCTCAGCTCCCCTTCCAGCCAGCCATCCTCCAGAATCCCTACAATACGAATCCTGTCACCAACATCAAAATCCAATTCCGTGGATTCCAGAGCTTGGAATTGATAGAGAGCAACCCCATAGGTGCTCCCTGGTTCCTGCCCCTCCTCTTCTCTGCTCTCTTCCTCCTTGGGGAGCACCTCCACTGTTCCATTGGTGGCACATGGTACTGTGGGCTCTGGATCCTCTGAGGTTCCTGCTGTTCTTAAAGGACTAAGCAGCTCCACAAAGCCCTCTGGAAAGATGCCCCTGCGGCCTCTGAGCTCTCCCTCGAACCAGCCAGGCTCTGGGATGCCAACAATGTTGATCACATCCCCTTCCCTGAAGTCCAGTTCCTCTTCTAGCTGGGCAGAGAGGTCCATCAGAGCTCGGGCTTGGCCCAGGGAGTAGGTAGGCACCTCCAGGAGAGCACTCTGGGATAGCTGATGGCTCCGAAATGAAAGGCACAGTTCCCGCACACATGATGAGGGGAAAAAGCCCTTAGAACCCCAGCTGCTTCGGCCCTGGAGCCAGCTGGAGGCCAGGGAGCCCCCCAGGATCACCAGGTCTCCTGCAAGGAATAAGACAGATCAGGTTAAATATTTGCCCCCATGATTGCTTCTCTCATCTTGTTCGTGCATCTCCACACGGAGATCTTTCTCGGCTGTGGATAAAGCCTGACACTCTGCACAGAAAGCAGAGTGTGCTGGGGATGCACAAGAGCACAGAATGGAGCTAAGGGATGAAGCGTCACCAGCCTCTAGCATTCACAAAGTCTCTGGTAGGTGTGATATGACCTGTGAAATACTAGGAAATTCCATCCCTTCCATGATAGGGAGAATGCTGTCACTAGGTCCCTGCATGCTTCTGGAAGGGCAAAGTGGGGTTATGCGATGCAAAGCAACAGTAAGAGAACAGGGATTACCTCTCTGCAATGACAAGCTTCCTGGCTCTTGAGATGTGAAGTCACTGGTACAAACAAACAGCTTTTCTCCCTGCTTCAAAGCAGGAATATCCACAGGTTCCACAAAGCTGCTAGGAAACTGCCCTGGAACGAGAATCAGTTGTCAGCACTGAAGCTTTTCTGTAGCCCACCAGCACTTGTCCACCCTCCTTCCAGATCTTGGGATCTGCTCTTCTTGCTACTTGGGAACCAAGCTACTCAGGGTGCCTCAGCAGCAGCCACCTTGAGAAGAGGAATGGATTTGGGAGTCAGGAATTCCATGAGGCTTTCAAATGTTTAAGAATTAGAAGAAAATAGAAAGTGTTGACTGTTAGACATTACCAGGATTGTGCCATCAGCACACAGTTTCTGGCAACAGACGTACTAGTTTACTTTCCTTGCTCTTTACCCAATTCAAAGGACAAGATCAGGACTGTGATCCAGAAGTGCTTGACCACAGACCTGTGTCTTGTGACATGGGCACATCTGCCCTGTGTCCCTGACGCTGTAAGGCACAGACCAAACAGAGCCTCAATGTCGAATCTGGGCTGCCACTCTTGGGAAAGCCACATCTGTGAGTCAGGCTCTGTCACAGCTGCGTCACCACTGAGATTCCAGAGCCCTTCCCTGTTTTATCACCTCTGTGCAGGTGCTTCGCCCAGGGTTGCTGTTGGAATCACAGCTGTTCCGAGCAGGTCACTGCCAGAAAGGACAGTGCACACTTTTTGGCCAATTTACTCTGACACCAGTTTCAGTCTCCAGAGCACCTGGAGCTGGCACAGGCCACAGTAAAGGCCACTACAAATATCATTCTTTTGTATGAATGATCAGGTATGGGACAGTAGCATTTCCAGCATTCACTCATGATGTCCACCCAAGATGATGGTCATATTCTCCAAAGTCCTATAAAACCTGGTGATTACTATTTTTTTTTTTCCTCCATGGAAAAACCATATCCCAGAAACCTAGCATATTCCCCTGGCATTAGGCAGTTTGCCATCTGCTGTCGCTAACGTACAGTATGAACAACAGCCCACAGGGTTCTCACATCAGTGGCTTCCTTCACAGTTTTAACTGTTTCTACTTCTTTTTTTCCATGTCTTAAGTTTCCTGCTCTGTAAATGGAAATAACCTATTGCAGCCCCACTCTTGTGCTGAGGAGAGAGCCAGGCGTGTGCTTTGAAGTGGCCTGGTTTTCATCTCTCTGAGAGCTTACGCATCCTCTCAGAATTGTTATTAAGATGAAGAAGAGCTGCTTAAAAAGGAGTACAAGACCCTTTAAGTGATTCATTAAGAGCGTTTTTGCCGCTTCAGAAGTTTCTAAAACCCCTCCAAAAGCTGAGCAGTCTCGCACCCTCCTCAGTTCCCCACGTATTGGTGGCAGCCTGTGCAGGAATGCTTTAAAGCAGGAGGGTGGAAGTGGGCTGAGCCACAGGGCTGCGGAGAGGACATTGATTCTGTCACTGCATCTCCCACTGACTTGACCTGACAGGGTCACTTGGCACTTCCAGTCTCTGTGCATCTGTTTCCTGTCTCCGCTGCCACAGCAGGTCAGCGCGTGAACTACCCGGGAAATGGGCTGTCCCAGCACAGAGCACGGAGCACCTACATTAAACAGTTCTAATCAGCTTGAGAACTGACTCTCTCTCAAAAACAAAAACCAACAAACAAATTGGTTTATCTGAATGCGTGATGCAAGGCTGGCGGGAGATCACTGACAGGGAACCTGTACCTTCAGTCCCAAGTAAATTCCATCGAAAGGCTTCATAAATGTGCTCCTACACTCCCCTCTGGAGCAGCACTGACCAAGGGAAGGAACGCACATGGTGGGGCTGATTAGCTGGGCACTAATTAGTGTGCACTTGGGCACCCAGTTGCAGGCAATTCCAGCTCTTACCTGTGACGCCTTCCTTTTTGCCAAGGAGCCAGAACTCGTCCACCACAGCCAGGACCTCGATGACATCTCCCACAAACAGGGGCAGCTCCTCAGAGACGCTGGGACAGAAGTCAAAGACCGCTCGTACCACGGAGCCAGCCTCCATCGTGCGGGGTCCGCAGGCAGATCAGCACCTACGGATAAGACACGACAGCAATCTGTTATCAGGACACACCTGAGATTATAACCCACACACACAAAGGAAAAATCCTTCCCAAGTAAGAAATGCAGGAGCACTTTGAGATAGTCCCAGCCTGAGCACACTGAAAACCCCCTGCAGGCATCAGACTTTGCTGCCACAGGAGCCAGGGAACGTCCCAAGTCCAACCTGCCTGGTCCAACCTCTCTGCATCTCTTTTGGAATGTATACTTGTGTCAGCACAGAGGGAGAAGCAGCACAAAAATGTGGAAATGACTTCCCATCAGGAAGGAAGGGAAGGCGGGGAGGAAGCCCAGCGTTTCCCTGACAGGCCGGCCGGCGCACGCAGCCTGCGGGGGCCTGAGCAGGGCGGGCAGATCCCCGCCGCAGGGCACCGGGCACCGCGGTGCAGGAAGCACCACGGGGCAGCATCCGCCAGGGAAAGAAGCCCTTCCTGCTGACGGGCCGGCTCTACGGATCACACAGGACTCCCCCGTGGGCACGGAGCGGGGCTGTGTGCGGCAGCAGCGCTTCCTCGGCCATCCCTCGTGCCCGCCGGCCGCACGGCTCACCCAGGCCCGCAGCCCAGCCGTGCTGCTCATGGAGCGAGTGCTCCTGCCAGGCCCCTCGCCCGCCTCTCTGTCCTGTCGACTGCTGTTGGCCGCCCGCCTCACCCTCAGCACGTGAGCTCCCGGGGGCATAGGCGCCCACTTTGTCACCAGCATTGTGCTGGCTCTGCACACAAAGAGCCCAATGTCCGCAGCAGACAGCATTCGGCCACCACAGAGGGATGAATGGACTAGAGGGAATTGGGGACACAAAGGCTGCAGTTCAGGATAGCAGCAACCTACTGAGGCAGAAAGAGCAACAGCGTTAAAAACATGACCATGTGGAGAAGGGGAAAAGCTCCATGAATTAGTCTGGGAAAGCCGAGGACAAGCGCGTAGCCAGAGCTGCTCGAGGTGGGGTGGCTGGGCGGGCTGCACGTTCGGATGGGTGCAGGACAGGGGCACTGAGGTGCACCGGCAACCAGGGGCTGCTGCCACCCCGCAGATGGTCTGTGGGCTCCCTGTCACAAGACACCACAGAGCTCACTGTCACCTTCTCACCTCACAGCTGTGGTGGACAAGTGAAGAAAATGAGACAGGGGATTGAGAGGGACAGGCAGGACCACAATTACGGAAAAAAAAAAAAAAAAAAAAAAAAGATCCAAGCAGCTCATGTTCCCTCAGTGAAAAGTGGGATTCCTCCCTGGCAAAGGAGTTTCACGCATAGGATGGAGGAAAGGGAAAAGAGGATTTGGAAGCATTACATACTGACAACAAGAGGAACCTGAAAACATCCTCCATTAACTAAGTGCTTAGAGTCTCAATGGAAACCCTAGGATGACAACTTGTTTTTATTTTGTAGGAGCTGCTCACTGGCCACAGGAACAAAGAGAGGAAAGGAGCCACACAGGCCAGCACGGTGAGAGGCACCTTGGAGGAACGCCAGCGTCAGCGAGCACAGGAGGAGCTGCTCAGAGAGAGGAGCGGGAGCCCGGCGCGTACAAACGCTGATCCGAGTTCTTCACAAAGGTCTGATGAGCCCCCACTCCTGCCCCTACTCCAGAGGTATCAGATGCTTCACTTGCACGTCTATGTCTAGAAGTAGTGACCCCTCATGTCTCCTGCCAGCTGGACCAGAGCAGGGTCCTGGTCAGGTTACACCTGAGGAGCCCCTTGCCAGCCAAGAGGACAAAGCAAAAGCCCCTGCAGCTGGTACTACAAGGGCAACGCTCCCAGGTCTGTCTGTCCCTTCAAAGTCCAGTGCCAGCCCTTGGTGAACTGTCATATTTCAGCATGGGACCTGGGAACTCCTCTGCGTACAGGACTGTTTGCTTTCCTTTTCTCTCCCTCAGTCTAGACAGTATGTCCCTGTGTTTGAAGGCAATGAATCAGTCCTGTGGGGTTTGTTGCTCTGAACAGAAAATACTATATTTTCCAGGATCTTTTACTCCATGCAGTGCCAACTGCAACACTTTCTGCAAACCTCACCTAGAGAAAGAAGCCTCTGAGCACCATCCAGAATGGAAACTTACTGAATTCAAGTCTTGGGGCTTAATGGCGGACACAGACCTCATCCAGATCCATCCCAGATCTGCCGGGTGAAAATAAACATCCCGCGACAGCTCCGGCGCAGGCTCCAGCAGGAAGAGCAGGCTGCAGGGAGCACCGGCCTCCACTGCCATCCCGGTGAGTCATGGCTCCTGACCACGGGCCAAGCCCCATTCCCTCTCACCTCCACACGAGTAATCCCTCCTTGCCAGGGGGAGGGAGGGCTCGTCCGCAACTCAGCAAACGCTGGAATTTCACCCTGCTGGAGGTCAGGGCTGCAAATCGCTGCAGAGCTGGAGGAGGCCAGAATTCCTGCCTCCGCCTAGCAGCAGATCCACATCCAAAGAAGGCCTCACTGTGCAAGTATGAAGTCGCAGCAAAGCAAGAAACTCGCCCTGCTGAGAACACGCTGTCTCTGTCTCGCTGCCCGACCCTCCGCAAACAAGGTAACGTGTTCCAGCCTCCCAACTGCAGCCCGTCTGCTTCCCAGCCCCAGGCCTCACACAGCAGCGCTGGGCAGCAAGGCAGCGGGTGAATTCCCAGAGCATGAATCACGCTCTGCAGCCCTGCTGCGTGCCTGCTCAGCACATATTAGCATTACCTTCCCGCAACACAGCCTGCCCTGCTTTGCTGCTAGCTCTGGAGTATGTTTGGTCCAGCGGGGGCTGATGAAAGAGGAGATGAGAATGAAAGGGCAGCTATTAACTCAGCTACAATGCTGTTTTGAGATCTTCCAGCAGAGACAGCACGCAGCCAAGAGAAGGCATTTACACACTGAACCGGATGACTTCTCATGTCCCTCCTCCTCTCACTTTGCAGCTGAAGCTGGACAGGGTAAAATGTCTCCAGTAACAGACTCACCAGCACCAGGGTGGTGAATTGCTGTCAGCTGCCTGCATGGGAGCAGACCTAACGCATCTGTGTGGTTTCTGCAGGTTTTGGAGGGTAAGGATGAGCAAATGGAGCTCCTGCACCATGGAAACATGGTTCTTATCTTCCATGATTTTGCTGAAAGACCCTACAGCAGGGATTTCAAACCCTTGAAATCAGATCAGTAGTAATCTGATTCTACTGATTGGGCAGTAATGGGCAAAGAGCCCATTATGGGTTGATTACAAAAAGTATTACGAACCCCAGGAAGACGGAGGGTCCCCAGGGTCCAGAGACGGCTAATCCAGTGGCACATCCAAGCAGTGGATTAGATGAAGAGATAAAGAGCAATAATGGACAGACACCACAAATTTAGTGGCAGGAGAAGCAAGCTTCACAGGCAGGACCACCACCTGTTTCCCTCAAATAGTGATCTTCAGCTTCTCACTCAAGGCAGTGCTGTTAGGACTGCCCATGGTCAGCATTGTAACATAATTCATCAGGGCAGCACCCAAGAAACTAACAGAGCTCCAATCAGAAAGAAAACGTGGTGCAGGCTTCCACATGCACCCTTGCCTTGCTCCAGACAAGCGCATTCTTGTGCAGCAGATGGTTCAGCCTCCTTAAAGACTTAGAGCCTGCCTGAGCGGTAGCCCAGGGAGGAGCCGGATTCCCAGAAATGCACACAGGCAGGTTTATCCCAGAACAAGGCAAGAAAACCAACAGAGACTGACAGTGAGTTATCCTTTTTTGAAAACTGAAAAATGTCACCTATGTCTCTTCACGCCTCCTTCCACTTGTAACTTAATGCTCGCTCCCTGCAAACAGAATCCATCTCCAGAAAGGGAGATGCCCCTTCACCCTAGTCCCACCCAGTGCACCCCCCGGTTGCTGGGTCTGGCCTCAGCAAGGGATTTGTTGCAGCTCTCATTGGCTCTGGGATGCAGGATCAATACCTGATATTTAGTGCACGGAAACCACGGGTGTCACTTGGCTTGTCGCATGACTGTGTCACGAACAGAAGCTCACAACCTACATGCCGAAGAATTTTCCCTTCCTTTTTCCTCCACTCCTCCTACCTCCTTGTGGTCTCCAAAATCTGGATGTCCCTCCTTACCCCACTGCACATGCAAGGCCTGCACAATCCCTATCCGTGCTTCACAGACGGGACACTGTCCCCACATGAGTGTCTGGAGTGGCACCCCTGGACACCCCCTTGGGACAGAACGTGCTGCTCCCATGGGACTTTGCTTGACTGCGTGTTCCTGGGTGGAATAAACAGTATCCCACTGAGCAGTGGCATCCGCTCCCTAGCTGGAGAGAGGGCAAAGGCAGGGAACCAGGCTCCATGGCAAACTGTGGAGCTGACCCTACTCGTCCCGACGGAAGGGACAAGGCACCAAGCAGGGCAAGAAGACAGGTCTAGTGATGAGGACGAGAGGAGCCTTCTTCCACCAGGAAATTGCCAACTGCTGCAGCCTGATTTCTGATAGGAGACACTGCACAGCTCGGCACATCCCCAAGAGCTCTCTAGTGAGCTTCGTACATTGAGAATGGGAAATTTTCTCTTACGTACTCCATCTCATAATTCCATACGGATCCCAGGAGGAACAGGAGTAATTTCATTTCCTTTGTCTGTGACCTGACACATAAAAATAATTAAAATCAACATATTTGGTTGCAATGTCAAGCCTTCAAGAAACAGGAAAGCCAAGAACAAGAGCTGCTTGAGCAACTTCTGGTCTCCCACAGCACGATGTGACTGTTTGGGTATTTGCCACAGGAGCTCTGCCACATGTCAGACAAGTCATTCGATACACTTAATTTTTCTTCTATTTTCTTTTTCTTCCTCCAGCTGGACACTGGCTGCCACAGTGCCCTCACCTGCCCTTCAGCAGGATGCAGATCAGGGCAGGCTGGCAGCATTTGTGCAGGGCAAGTGTAGGCTGCGGAGAATGAAAGAGGAACTTGTGTTGGGCCATCTGGTTAGCAAATGAAAGTCATCTGGAAACCAGAGCACAG